AAATGCCAATACCAAATGATACCCCTTGCAGACGGGGTTTGGTTGAGCTCCCAGATTGGGACCCACTTGGAAGCAGGTTTGGCATCCACTTCTTAAGTAACAGGACTTTGAAAACCCTATGAACAGTAGAGAAACAATGATAGTTATAGAACAGGGCTCCAATCTTTGTTCACAGGGTTGCTGAGTCATTCTCAACTCGATGGCACATAACAACAACAACAACATATTTACAGTTAGTTGTCAACATGGATGCAAAGATCACTCAATAGGAAAAAAATATTATATTATCTTCAACAAGCAGTGCTATGAAGTTAAATAACCCACTGCCATCAAGTTGATCCCTATCCACAGTGACCCTTTTCTACAAAGTACTAGAATTGTGGAGGGCAAAGCAGAACTGCCCCAAAGGGTTTCCAAGGCTGTAAATCTTTAGGGAAGCAGACTGTCTCATTTTTCCACCTCAGAGCAGGTGGTGGGTTAAAACCACCAACCTTCTAGTTAGCAGTTGAATGCCTTAACCACAGTGCCAGCAGAGCTCCTAGGAAATAAAATGCAGCTGTTAGGTGCCATCAAACTAACTGTGACTCACACTGACTAATTAAATAGCTATATAAAAAAGGGTAATACTGGACCCTTCCCTTACACTGTAATACAAATGTCAATTCAAGTGGATCCCATTGCTACACACGCTGCTACATGCAGTTAAAACCATAAAACTCTTAGAAGAAAACACAAGGTTATATCTGTAATCTCACACTTGGAAAAGGAGTATTTAATATGACATCAAAAGTGAAAGGAATAAAAGATATAACTTCACACATCATCAAAATTTAAAATGCCTATGCCTGAAAGGAGATCATCCAGAAAATAAGATAATTCACAAAAAATACACAATAAGGTCTTGTTCATAACCTGAGGCTTGTCTATATACCCCACTATTTCTTGGCAACAAAAGAAATGAAGCACTAATATCTGGTCCAACAAGAATGACTCTTTATATCATTGCACTAAGTGTAAGAAATCAGACACAAAGATCACGTATTGTAGCGTTCACTTCTATGAAACGCTCAGATTAGGTAAATCTACAGACAGAAAGCTGACTAGTGGTTGACTGGAGTGGCAAAATGGGGCGAAATAGAGAAGTCACTGCTAATGGGTATGCTGTTTCTTTATAGGGGGATCAAACTATTCTAAACTGACTCTGAGAAGGGTTAACAACTCAACAAATGTGATGGAAACCAATGAATTATACAGCTGAAATAGGTGACCTGTAGACCAATGTTTATTAATACTATTATTAAGGGTAAGAGTATTTATATTACAAACATATTTATATCTCCAGTATTTGTATTCTATAATTATCTTCTTAAAGTTATTATCAATTTTTATTTTTACTTTTCTGTCTGGATTATTTACTTTCTCTACTACAATTATCAAGCAACAGAAAAGTCTTGTGCCTGAAGGGGAAGAAGTTTCACTCCCAACCCAAAGGCAGGCAATGTGAACCTACCAGCTGCTCCAAAAGAAGATGGGAACTCTTTCATGAAATTTACAGCCTCTCAAAACTTGCCGGAGGGTCAGCTATGAGTTGATTCCGAGTCCACAGCAAAGAGAAAAAATGAGTGTCAAGTGAAGACAATTGGATTACAAAACAATTTGTAGATTTTCTTAAAGAAAAATGTACAAATATAACAAATCACAATATACTCTAACTCTTCATAGAAATACAAGAAAGACTAATTTGCTTTCAAAGTCTTTTAATATAAGCATACATCTATCTTGCAATTGTGGGGGGGGGGAGTTACTTGATAAAGAGGCTTATAAACTAAGAGCCTTTCCTTGACTGTGTCATCCCTTCCTGTTAACAGACAATGCCCATCACATGGTAGGTGCTTAATGAGGCCATGCAGAATGAGGAAAGTGGGAGAACTCTTTCAGGTAACGCACCTTTCTTTAAGAATTATCAGAAGGGGGAGATCCAAGATGGCGGCGGAGGCGGAGACAACGTGGTGAGCTGCGGGAGCAGTGGACCACTTGGAACAGGGCCACTATGGCCTTCTACAGACTTCTGTTTATTGATAATTGAACAGTTAAACAGTTGATGACTGGTCTTCAGTGAAGACTGAGGCTCAACCACAGGAATTCAAGGATTCCCAAAGAGGAATGGGTGATGTGCAGGAGATGGCTGCGCCCCCCCCCCCCCCCCAATCACCTGCACAGGAGATGGCGCGCACCCGCCAGCTGACCGCAAGCGAGATGACACACGCCCGCGCGCATGTGAGATGACATGCAGCAAATGGTGCGCGCCCGCTGGCTGCCCGCACGGGGGATGTGCGCCCTGCCGCCTGCAGGTCTGGGTTTCCTTGGACAGCCAGAGAAAATGATCACTGATATAATGGATTGTTGAAAGTCACTGTGAGTTGTCTACTTGATTACACTTAACAGTGGCAGCATGTCCAAGAGGGCCGACATCCTAAATGCACCACATATTTTGATTTGTTGAATGCTTCTGCCAAAAGCTGTTTAGACCTGGGGGGGGGGGG